GGTCATAAAAAAGTAAAAAAAAAAAAAAAAATAAAAATAGCAGTGCAGGTGTTCTGTTCAGAGTTAAATTTGGAAACAGAATCTTTCCCTCACTGGAACTTGTACAAACCCGAGACACACCGACTGAATATAACATCCATCCATCAGTGTTCTTCTGGTTTATTTGGGGTCGGGTCTGAGCAGGGAAGCCCAGACTTCCCTCTCCACAGACACTTCCTCCAGGGGGACACCGAGACGTTCCCAGGCCAGCCCAGAAACATAGTCTCTCCAGTGAACCTCATTCTATCTCTAAGGGAGACGCCCAGACACCCTGCGGAGGAAACTCACTGTGTCACTTGTATCTGTATGACCCAGAGCTCATGACCGGAGGTGAGGGGAGGAACAGAGACTGACGCTAAATCCAGCCTCAGCTCCTCTTCACCACAACGGTCCCATACAGCGACCACATCACTGCAGACGCTGCACCTGTCCACCTGTCAATCTCACGCTCCGTCCTCCCCTCACTCCAGAACAAGACCCCGACAGACTTAAACTCCTCCACTTGAGGCAGAGACTCTCCACCCGCCCGGAGACGACAAGACGCCTTTTTCCGCTCGAGAACCACGACGTCGGATTTGGAGGAGCCGAACTTCATCCCAGACACTTCACACTCGGGTCAAACTGCCCCAGAGCTGCAGGTCCTGGTCCGATGAAGACGACAGGACAACTTCATCTGTGAACAGCAGAGATGATCCTGTGGTCCCCAAACCGGACTCCCTGCGACCCCTGATTGCACCGAGAAAACAATGAACAGAACCGGTGACGGGCCGTCCTGGTTGAGTCCAACATGCACCAGGAACAGGTCTGACTTACTCCAAGGCCGTGGTTCTCAACCAGAAAAACGTTTCTTGTCCTCTCCTGGCGGGTGGAGAGTCCCTGCCTCAAGTGGAAGAGTCAAAGTATCTCGGGGTCTTGTTCCCTTAGCAAACGCCTTCTCCAGATCCACAAAACACATGTGGACTGGTTGGGCAAACTCCCACGAACCCTCGAGCGTCCTGATGGAGATGGTAGAGCTGGTCCAGTGTTCCACGGCCAGGACCAAAACCACACTGCTCCTCCTGGATCCCAGGCCAGATTCTCCTCTGCAGTCCCTGGCATAGACCTTACCGGGAAGACTGAGGAGTGTGATTCCTCTGGAGTTGGAACACACCCTCCAGTCCCCCTTCTTATACAGAGGGACCCTTAATACCTGTATTACATGACATGCCCCGACGAAGACCATCTTGCCGCTCAAAACATGTTGGTGCCCCTCCATGTATTAAAGTAGTTTTAATATATTCAGTCGGTGTTCCTCGGGTTTGTACCTCCCCCATTTTACATTTTCCAGTGACGGCCACATTCTGTTGAGACTTCAGATTATTTTTACTCTTTGCAGCAGAGTTATCTCGTTGCGTTCCTTCGCACGGTGCGGTGGATTCACAAACTCACGAGGATCCTCTGTTGCTCTGAGCGTCTGTGGAGGCAGGAGTCAAATCCGTTAAAGCTTTAGTTTGATTTGTGGACTTGTTCTTCAGCGTCAGAAAGCTCCTCCTCCTCCTCGTGTTCACGTTCAGAAAGTCTCCGCTTCAGACTGATCGCGAGTCCAATCCGCCGTGGCACATGAATAAACACTCCGACTGAAAAGAAACCGAAACATCGCAGTCAGTAATGTCTTTTTGCACGTCAAATACCAAGGTCAGATTCTCCTAAAGTGGTCAAAACTACTCAAACAACTATTCAGAATTCAAGTCTTCTTCGAGAACTTCCGTCGAGGGAGATGTTTCAGCGCAGACAGGCCTCAGAACAGACATTTATTTTAGTTTATTTGAAGTATAGTTTGCAAAATCAGTCAGAAATTACTTGAATTAAGAAGATTTGAGTTTCGGTTTGAGCATCTTTGACTCGTCCGGTAAACAGTCTGTCAGTAGAATATGTTTTTATTGAACTTTAAAATCTATTGTCAGATTGTTGTGCTTGAAAAGTCAAAGCTGGAGACTCAAATCAGGATCAAATCTTCTTAAATCGTTTTGGTAACACTTGAGTTTGAGTCCTAACTAGATGTAATAAACATAAGTTAATTGGAGCTTTTTTAGTGTTTCTAAAGTATTGTTCCGTCCGTTTGCTCTAGTTTTAGTCAGATTTAGATTTGACACTTTTTAATAACTACACCTTTAATTAACCTTAAAGCTGCATTGTGTAACTTTTCTGTTGGAGCGTGCGTCATACGCTTTTCTCCGTGGAGATGTTATCGGTTTGTCTGGGATGTTCCACAGTGTGACATTAAACCTTTTTAGCGATTTTTTGAGCTCTAAATCCACCTGTGATTGAGTAAATGTAAAATCGAGCTGTTTAAAGTCACACTGGGGAACATTCCCGACAGAGAAATGACGTATCCATAGAAACAAGCAGGTGACGGACCCTCAACGGAAAAGTTACACCGTGCTCCTTGAATAAAGCATTAAAGACTTATGTCACAATGAACAAATAGTTTATTAACAGTTTATTAAGAATTATTCAGCCTTAGTCACAACTTTTTAAGGATTTTGGAGTTTATTTTGTAGTTTCTTGGGCTGAATTATTCTTAAAGCAGACATATTGTGCAAAATGAGAGAGATTTAAGCCATGTTATAGATGTCTGAGTCGTCTTTATTCTCTTGTTTTCAAACTGGTTTTCATTGGTGCTCGCCCACTTTGACGTTTTTCGTTCATTCTCCAATATTATTTTCTAAATCGTTAAACACGTAGGATTCAATACCATTTTGTAGACATTTTGGAACAAGTGAAAAATAAATCAGCTGTTTGCGTGATGTGCAGCTTTGATGGATCTATGATAAAAACAGACAGACTAGTGGTCGCTCCAGGTTCTGCAGCTCCGGGAGTTTGGGCCCAGAAGGAATTCTCCCACAGAGCGAAATGCATTTTGGGAATTCAACCTGTCCGTGTTCTGACAGGGCATCTGGCTTTCACAAAGGTCGGATTTTGTAGGATTCTTAGTCTCCGTTCAGACTGCAGGGCTTAACGCTCAATTCCGATTTTTTTGTGAAATCTGATGTTTTTTCGAGGTCGTTCACATTTCCAGTTAAATGTGACTTGTATGTGACTCCAGTGTGAACATTAAACGGTCCAAAAGTGTCCCACATGTGACACTGGAGACACGACGACGTCAACCGCAGCGAGCGTCTCTGTGTTTACAGAAGTTGTCCAAACATGGACGCAGCATCGAGCACCTGGAGATTTTAAAGTTCCTCTTGTACCGGAGCCAGAACATGAACGACTTACTTGTTTTAAGGAGGAGATTGAGAAGGAGAAGGACGAGGTTTTTGGTCGTGGTGTTTTGTGGTGAGTGGATGTGCTTCACTTCAGTGACACATGGAGTTCATTAACAATTTTCTCCTACTTCAGCGCAGAATAGTGACGTTTGTGTCTTGTTGATAACGTGTAGGTGGATTGAACCGTTCACACTGAAGTCACATGTCAAAAGATCAGATATGTATCAGTTTCAGGAGCACATATCCAAGTGTCCTGGGTCACATTTGAAAAAATCGGATCTGTGTCGTTCAGACTGACATTAAAAGATCAGATACAGGAACATAGAGGCCAAAAAATTGGATTTGGGAACTTCAGGCTGCAGTCTGAACGCAGCCTTAGAAACCTTTTTAAATCGTCAAAGCCTGAGCCTCGTCGCTCTGAGCCTCGTCGCTCTGAGCCTCGTCGCTCTGAGCCTCGTCGCTCTGAGCCTCGTCGCTCTGAGCCCACGGCATGAGCACCGGGATCTAAACATATCCGTCCATTCAAGTCACTGGGTCGAGCTCAGTGGTTCAGGTCTCAGATTCGCCTTCAGCCCGGTGAGGTGCTTCCAGTGCCTCCCTGCTCGTTGAACAAGCGCAGTAGTGCTTTTTTTTTCCCGCGGGCAACACAAATGCACATGAGCGCGCGGGGAATGCGGTATCACATGATCACTTCGACCAATCACAGTGAGAGGGCATAGAGCGTAGCTGAAGTTCACGATTAAAAATTAAAAAGCTGTTTTTTAAGACAACAGACGGATTTTGAGTAAAAAAAAAAGTTTAAGATTTCAGTTTACGTTTATATGGTGACAGTAGGAACGACGCAAAAGTGACGTCGCATCTTCACTTTTTATTTCGTGTTTAAACAAGCGTGTTCTGGAGTAAATCTGTGTGCATACGGTGACGCAAAAGTGTGTGGAATTCGATTGTATGCATGCCAGGTTTCTGTTTACCGTATGTATGTGACGTAAACTCGTACATGACCTGAGCAGATCTGACCAGAGTTTTGCGTCTTGGGCAGTGTAGATGGAAACACTATGATGGAGCGTATTCAACTTTTCCACTCTGGAGTTTCAAATTTTTGCATTTTTAAGCCCCAAAAACATCGTCACCGTCTAAACGAAAGACACTTCCGATAAAATATTTTGTCGTTTTTACCCACAAATGTAAACAGGACCTTAAAATAGGTAAAAATCGCCACAAAATCTGACATTTTTTGAAAGTTTATGTGCCCCGTGAGCCGAACACGAGCAGCTTGTGTTTACATTGACTCTGTGGGAAAAATCCTTTTTGGGCCGAGGGGGAAATGTCCAAAAACAAGCACAATATGTCTTCTTTAATCGATTATTTGTTCATTTAGAATCAGATCTTTCTTCATGTTATTAGGTTGTTTTTTCAGACCAAGAGATTGTTTTCAGACCTCACAGTTTCAGGTCTGAAAACAAACTCTTGGTCTGAAAAAAGAACCTAATCACATAAATTATCAGAAGACCAACATGAACTTTCTTAAGGTTAATGAGGTGAAGTTATTACAAAGTTCTACCAACAGATATTCAGCGTCAGATCTTGAAAAGTCTCGTTAATCCAGTTTGAGTCAGACTTACTTGGGTCGAACTCGATCCTAACCAGGTCTTAGTCCGTCCCCAGCGCCTGCCCGCCCCTGCCGCAGCCGCCTGACGCCCCTGTCTCTCTCAGGTCTGTTGGGACTGCAGCTGATCAACGGCAAGAACGAGTCGGCTCACATCGCGGACGCCGTCGGGGTCGTGGCCCAGTCGCTGCAGGAGCTGTTCGAGAAGGAGAACATCACAGAGCCCCCTAGAGGCTGCGTGGGGAACACCAACATCTGGAGGACCGGGCCGCTCTTCAAGAGGTACGAGGCGGGTTTATGGGAAAAGGAGGGGAGAGACGAGGGATGGGACAAGATCTCGTGAGACAAAATCACCACAAGATCGAGCACACGTCAGAAAAAATACATCGTGAGGGTTAAAAAAGGGTTAGAAATGGTTTGAAGGTTGAATTTCTTAAGAAGCTGTTGAACCAAAAAAGACACAATGACACGAAAAATATTAAATAAAGTAAATCCTAAATGTTGAGGCCAAAACTGTGAACTGAAGCACAACATTTATTTACAAGTCTCGTTCTCATGGACCCAGTCTCGTTTCTCGTCTCAAACAGGACTAAACATGGTCTAAAAAGGGACTAAATCAGGTCTAAAACAGGACTGAAACGAGACTAAACGAGGTTTAAAACGGGACAAAACCATGTCTAAAAATGGACTAAACCTAAAGAAAGTTACACAGTCTTGTTTCTTATCTTGTCTTAAACAGGACTAAACCAGGTCTATAACAGGATTAAACCAGGTTTAAAATAGAACAAAACCAAGTCTAAAACTGGACTAAACCAGGTCTACAACAGGACAAAACAAGGTCTAAATGGGCATAAACAAGGTTTAAAACAGGACTAAACCAGGTCTAACAATGGACTAAACTAGGCCTAAAAAGGGATTAAACCAGGTCTAAAACAGGACTTATTCTGGTCTAAAACAGGACTAAACCTAGTCTAAAACAGGATTATACCAGGTCTAAAACAGGACTAAAATAGGTCTAAAACAGGACTAAACCAAGTCTACAACAAGATTAATTCAGGTCTAAAACGGGACTAAATCAGGACTAAAATGGGTCTAAATCAGGACTACAGCGGGTCGAAAACAGGACTAAATCAAATCTACAACAGGACTAAACCTGGCTAAAAACAGGACTAAATCAGGTCTAAGAAAGGACTAATCCAGGTCTAAAAATGGGACTAAACCAGGTCTAAACCAGGTCTAAACCAGGTCTAAACCAGGTCCATGTGTGTATTCTAGTCTCTTTGTCTTATTCTCGCTCTGATCCAGCTCCAGTTCTTAACACATTTTTTAGGATCAATAAGTGTGAAAATGAGGATCTAGTTTTGGTAGTTTTGTAGTTTTGGTTTGATCAGTGTCAGATTGTCTCTGCCTCACGACCCCGATGGAGACAGAGGACAGAGGACAGAGGACAGAGGAGGAGGACAGAGGACAGAGGACAGAGGAGACGGAGGACAGAGGACGGAGGAGACAGAGGACGGAGGAGACAGAGGACAGAGGACGGAGGAGACAGAGGACAGAGGACGGAGGACAGAGGACAGAGGAGACGGAGGACAGAGGAGACGGAGGAGGACAGAGGACGGGACAGAGGATGGAGGACAGAGGACAGAGGACGGAGGACAGAGGACAGAGGACAGAGGACAGAGGACAGAGGATGGAGGACAGGGACAGAGAACGGAGGAGACAGAGGACAGAGGAGACGGAGGACAGAGGACGGAGGACAAAGGACAGAGGACAGAGGATGGAGGACAGAGGACAGAGGAGACAGAGGATGGAGGACAGAGGACAGAGAACGGAGGAGACAGAGGACAGAGGACAGAGGAGACGGAGGACAGAGGACAGAGGAGACAGAGGACAGAGGAGGACAGAGGACAGAGGAGACAGAGGACAGAGGACGGAGGACAGAGGAGACAGAGGAGACAGAGGACAGAGGAGACAGAGGACAGAGGACGGAGGAGAGGAGACAGAGGACAGAGAGGAGGACAGAGGACGGAGGACAAAGGACAGAGGACAGAGGATGGAGGACAGAGGACGGAGGGACAGAGGGAGGAGACAGAGGAGACAGAGACGGAGGACAGAGGATGGAGGACAGAGGACAGAGAACGGAGGAGACAGAGGACAGAGAGACGGAGGAGACAGAGGACGGAGGAGACAGAGGACAGAGGATGGAGGACAGAGGACAGAGGAGACAGAGGACAGAGGATGGAGGACAGAGGACAGAGAACGGAGGAGACAGAGGACAGAGGACAGAGGAGACAGAGGACAGAGGACAGAGGAGACAGAGGACAGAGGACAGAGGAGACAGGAGGAGGACAGAGGACAGAGGAGAGGAGGACAGAGGAGACAGAGGACAGAGGAGACAGAGGACAGAGGAGACAGAGGACAGAGGACGGAGGACAGAGGAGACAGAGGACGAGACAGAGGATGGAGGACAGAGGACGGAGGACAGAGGATGGAGGACAGAGGAGACAGAGGACAGAGGAGACGGAGGACAAAGGAGACAGAGGACGAGGACAGAGGACGGAGGAGGACAGAGGACAGAGGAGACGGAGGACAGAGGAGACAGAGGAC